CTGCAGTGCTAACGTTTAATAGCTCAGACTTGGATAATGGTATAACAAATGTTGTAATGTTTATTATATGTTTTTGAAGTTTTGTTAATGTGTTCAACCTCTTTGTCAGGTCACCATAAATAAAAGGGTGTTGCCTTTTAATTTTAAGTTTAATATCTGGTAAATTACTGCTAGGAATGTGGTTGTTCTTAAAGTATAAAACATTATAGAATGGTAAAAAGGTGAGTTTGTCTATAGAAAGCTTTATTAGAGACTACTTTCTGCCTCTCCTGAGAAATTTTTATGGAGATGGAATGGATGATGTGGTTTACGGTGCTGGTTACTTTCATTAGTGCTGTGCTATTTCACCTTTTTTTTCACCTTAGGTGTTTGTGCAGGTGAGAAGTATGTCTGTACCTGTTGGTGCATACCACTGCCGTATTTTTCAGACCCTCAGACAAAAGCACCATGTCAAGACAGACCAAAGGTGTGGATAGATGAGGCCCTCTGCTTGTCCTGCTGCCAGGCGGTTTCCCCTCCCCATCTTCACAGCTTTAGCTGCAAAGGGGAGTGTGAATGCTCTGTCTCTAAGGAGCTGACTTAGCTCTTGTCTGGCTGATTTTGCCCTGAGAAAGTTCAGTCTCACTTGTGAGATCCTTGGTTGTGAGGGAATGCTTTGGGAACTGAACGTGTTCAAAACAGGTCTTGCCTGAGCTCTGAATCCATATGACAATATTCAGTTTGTTTTTTTTTTTCTCTTCTTTCCTGCCTCATGTAGGTTCTCCTTTAAGTTCCTCCCCTAGCTCTGTAGTACACAACAGCAACAAGGGTCAGGTAATCTTGCTGTATGCAGAGGCGGCGTTAGGTCTTCTCGGGAAGGCTGCAATGTGCCCAATTTTCAAGACTTTTTTTTCAAGAGACTTTTGTCTCCTATTGTTATCACATTCAGGGATGGATTTGATATCTAGAGTTATTCATTTTATGTAGCGTTAATTGATAAATATTCATCAAAGTATTGCTGAATTGAAGCCTGCCCGGCTTTATGTTTTTAGAGGCATGTTTTCATTCCTTCATGCTTTCAGGGAAGGGAAGGACAATAAAATCTTCTCTTTAAAATGAAGTTAATATCCCTTTCAGCACTTACAGCTCCTACAAATCTTGTGTGTTCCTGGGCTCAAGAGCTTGTTTTAGCTGGACTGCTTTTTAGCACTGCTCTCCACATGTAATTAAAGAGCTTTGTGTATTGTGCTTTGGTCCTAGTACAAAGAAAGCCCTGCAGCTTGTTTTAAGAGCAGTTTCTTCACAGCCAGATTGGTCTTCTAAGCGAAGTGGTGTAACTGTACCTGATGGCTGTGTTTGTGTAGTGAATGTTTGTAGAGCTCTGAGGGAGACCAGAAGCAGCATCTAGGTGAGTGCATTGCACTGGGACGCAGGCATTGGGGTTCTACTTAAGACAGGAGCACTCCTTTGTTTGCAGAGATGGAAGCGACTGGTTCTTTTATAAGGCCTGACTAGATGTTTGTGAAAAGCTTTGAGACGCTTTTGATTAACGACTATGCAGTATGTGATTATATCACACATAATAGTGGGTAGGAGGAGACAGACTGGCAGTGTAATTCTTGCAGCATTGTGAAAACTTCAGGCTTTGTTCTTCTTCAAACACTATATTTGCATTTAAACATGATTTTTCTCTGCGACTTCCCCTAGTCTTTATCTCCTCCAAATAAAAAATAAAATAAAAACAAGAAGGAAGCATTTATCTACCTTTATTTAAAAAAAGAAAAAAAGAGGGAGCAAAGGAAGAAAAAGTGTTGGACATCTGTCTGCTGTTTTGGCTAGTTTCGTTGTATGATATTTGAATGATCAGTGCTGTTTTGCTTTTACTAATGTCGGAGTCATGGTCTTCTCTGAGTTTGAGTGGGTGATGGTTTTGAACCTCGGAAATTGATTTTCCCAATTTTTCTGCTCTTCATTTTGGATGGTAACCTCTTGGCTGGAAGTTTTTAGTCACAAGGTTGCTGTAGCCTGTAATGCAGCCCAGGTTTTTGTGAAGAAAGGTTTGTTCCAGGGGCTCATTTTGCAGCTGGGCTAAGCAGGGCTGGGGTTTGGGAAGAGGTGGGCTGTGGCGAAAGGACCACTTGGGAGCCTGGCAGCTTCTTGCGCAGGGATGCGGTTTATTAAGTGTTGTCCAAACATGAGATTCTGCTGGATGTCCAGCAGTGCTTTCCAGAAAGCTTACAGCTCTGCAAAGGAACCGGCGGTGTTTTCTCCTACAGCTTCATTGAGATGTGGTGCTCTGCAGGGCTTGCAGGCCTGTTTCTATGAGGGCAGGCAGGCGGCCTGTGCACACTCCAGTCTCGTTGCTTCTGTTCTCCCCAGTATAACTTTTATTGCCAATCATTTGATTTATAAACCAGGATCCGGGGAGCCAGGAGTAGTGGAAGCCAGGGGAAAGTCAGAAATTTACTCGCTAAGATACAGTGTAGCAATGCTTTCCTAGGCAAGAGGCCTGTCAGAGAAATCATGCATGGCTTGCCAGCTGGTTGAAGACTGCCAACAAGCATTTAACAGGTGTGCTCGTGTTTTTTCATGTTGTTTCATGTTCTTTGTTACTTGTAATGCTGGAATAATAACTGGGGACGCTCATTTTTATGGGCGCTCACCTGCGTGAGGTTTGTGACCTGCAGTAGGCTTTCCTCTCCGGTGGTTCCATCGTCAGTGCAGTTTGAGAGGGAAAACAGGTTGCTTTGGTAGAAACACTAGTTTATTCCCCAAAGATCCTGTTCTTACAATCTTTCTGAATTCTGACTCGGTGCCACCAAACAATAAATTTTTGCTTCTGCTTAAAATTTGTATTTGTTTTTGAGAAATGCAATGTGGAAGCTGATATTACTGCTAGTGGGTGATGCTACTGATATTACTTACCAGTGGGTGAAGAAATTAAGCAGATCAAGCAGATCAACCTCTTTTAGAAACGAACGTAACCACCCCCAATGTTTTCCTGAGTACATGAAAATATGCTTTGTCTGAAGTGAAGTGCCTTCTGATATTGTCACTGATGAAACACACTTTCACAAACAGGTTGGCAGAGGGAATTCGGGTAAGAGCTGACACCCTGTAATCTATAGATGTGTTGTGGAAGACAGTAGACAGTTGCAGATTGTATTTTGGCCACATGATTTGTTTCTTTTAAAAAAAATATCTAAATTATAGAATTGATATTATATACATATATGAAAATAGATTTTGTTTCAGGCCTTCTAGGTTTGCCCATACTTGCTCTTTAGACTGCTAATCAGACTCAAAGTTGCTTAAAAGTCAATTTATTATGCAAAAAAAGTTAAACTGGAAGCAATAGCAGTATACTTTTCTCAGAGGATACAGCTCCATTTTATGTATCTGGCAAAGCTTCTGTAGAGTTTTGTACTATGAAAAATAAGACACCTTTCCATTTGTAGGATGTATATAAATTCCAAAACATAGAATGTGGAATAAATATTTCACTTAGTATGGAGAATCTGAATATGAAAACAAGAATTTTCAAGTAACTGCAGAAAATAAGTGGCAAATGTTACAAAGGAATGGAGAGTAAGATGAAACAGAAGGTGGGCCAGAAATGAAAAGGTATGGCATGAACTGCTCTGAAGGGAGCTCAGTGTTCACAATTGTTTTCTTTGGATTGTGACAACATGGCAGCTGCAGCAGAGTTTTTGCTCTTGAGTGAACTCCAAGCCTTTTTTAAAATCTGTCCATTTTTGCAAGTAATAGGTTTCTGAGACCTGCTGTTTCTGCTGTGCTATAGTTCTTGTTGCTAGCATGTTTAACAGACTGAGAAAGGGTTGTACACTTCTTTGAAATATAGGTGAAAAAAGATTCCAGGGTAGGTTCACGTTTTAACTCATAAAATTTATTCTTCGTTGCAGTGGAACATTGACTGCTTTTTCTTACCGGTCAGTACTTTCAGCTGTAATGAACTCTCTTTGTGGGGGAGAATAGAATAGCAGAGAATGCTCTGTTGTGAAAATATACGGGGTTTTCTATAGTAAGGAAATCTTGGTCAGTGGCAGAGCAATGTTTATAGTAATTACAGAAAATGAAAGACATCCATTTCTGATGAAAGATTTGGTGGATGTGTTGGAATTGTTGTATGCAGCGACCAGTGGTAATTACTAACTCATATTTCAAGTCATTGTACAATTTCAGTGATGCCAAATTTTAGAAGCTGGTGGCCAAGGGATGATTAGAGGTTTATCACCAACCATTTTAATGGGTTGGTTTTCTACTTTTTTTCCAGACTCCTCCTATTTTTTTAAACTATAATAATAATTATTAAATTCAGTGAAATTGAAACACTTAATCAGCCTGGTCATATACGTTGTAAACTTTGGCTTCTTTTCCGCACGCTCTTTCTTTCCTTGAATGCCATACCTTAAGTACTGAGTTTCATTAATTAGCAGTCATTCTTGCTCAAATCTAGCTATGTTAATCTGTGCTAAAAACAAGTATCAATTATTTTCTAATGGAGTAACTCCAGGTTAAGCAGCAGTAAGAGGATCGACAGAGAATACAGTATCACATGAAAATCACTCAGTCTTACCAACCTTAAGGTAGATGCAGCTTTATAATGTTTGCCCTTTTCCCCTTCAGAATAAGCAATGCTTTTGACAAGCGGTAGGAGGAGACACGCTCTGTGTGCATCAGATGTCGATAAACACAACAGACTACATCTTGGTCAGCAGTGATGTGTTTGGGGTAATATCTTAGTAAGCTGGCTATTTAAAAATGAATTGTTTGCTACAAGCAAACAAAGAAGGATTAGGTTTTCTTTCTCATGAGATATTTTGGTGGCAGTGCTGTAGTCTTAGGCAGCGGTTTTTCTTTTTGCTGTTAGAAAACTTCTCTGGCCTACTTGAAAAATGTATTACTTTATAATTCTGCCTGTAATCTTTCTCACTGTTATGAAATGAGAAACTAGTATTACCTTTCCATCTTTCTAAAAAGATTTTTTTTTTTAAACTCAGAGTCCCGAATGCTATTCTGTTGAAGCGTCTGTCAAAACAAGAGCCTGTGATGTAATGGAGACTTGGAAACACTGCAGTTGTGCACTTTGAAAGTAAGTCAAAAATTTTCCAGTTTCAGAGATGACCTACTGAAAAAAAAAAAAACAAACAAGGTGGTTTGGCTTGTGCAATTTTCACTTTCTGCTTTGAAAACCACTGCTACTTGCTTTCTTATAAAGTTTGTGGTTCTTCTTTTTTTAATCATACACGTGTCAGCGTTGCATCTTTTGGTTCCCTTTTTATTTGTGGATTTTGCAGGGTTAACCTGTAAGCGATACCAGAGAGGCTGTTATCTATGTTTCCTATATATTTCCTATTTCCCGGGAAAAAGATCTGAGTTTTTTTAGTACTAGCAAGCAACAAATTTTTATGAAACTATTTATACACGGCCTGAATTAATCTAACTTAATTTGTTTAGGAGTTAATGAGATTTAGCTGATTAAATTTCATTCAATTTGGTTTTTCAATGTCTTCCGCAGGAGAAGAGTATGGCAAGAGTTAGTGCTGAAACCACTGCAAGGGGAGAGAATTGCACTGTATCATTACAAGTGTTTGAAAACTTAAGTGCGACCCTTATTTGTATCACTTATGATCTGATACCACAAATACCTGAATATAGCTAGATCTTGTTAGTTTGTTCATATATATACATGTACATACACAATAAATTCCTTTTCATACATACACGTGTGTGTGTGTGTATATATATATCTCCATAATTTTGAGGAAATGCCACCAGCCTTAATGGCCCTGTCACTAGAAGAGTGTTTTGCAGAACTCTGGAGCTGGGTTTGAAAACTTCACTGCAGCAGTATAACTATTAGAACATTTTCCTAGTTACTCTGCCTGCTGTTTCATGTGCTGTGTTTCATGTGCTATCGCTTGGCCAAATGGCTGCTGTCTGCACATTATTTTGCATCTTATTTGCCAGGCAATAGAGCCTTACGCAGGCTGTGTGTGTGGGAGATGGTGGTGGGGAAGTCTCTGTAGAAGTGAAGTGTGTCCTTAAAACTTCAAAGAATATGTTTTTGTAAGCATAGGCTAATCTGTGATTTTCTCAGAGGGTATCCTGGCTTTCTCTGGAGTAAATGGAATTAGCCAACAGTGTTTATGGGGATAAACTCAAAATGATGAGTTATGGTTCTTTTTAAAGGTTATTTTCTGATGGTTATCTTAAAGTATTGAAGGATGTAGGTTTTCTTTTTCTTTTTTTTTTTCCTTCTGCTGTCAAAGTTTGTATACAAACAGTAACAGTGTGGAGTAAAAAGCCTGAAAAATAAATAGGACAGCTGCTATTTATAGCAGAGGGGGAAATGTGCTTTATAATTCTTGGTTAAAAATTGGTTCTCTGGGATTTTTCACTAATTAATATTGTAAAGTAATTTTGCCTTTGGGATAATTTTAGGGGGTTGTAAAAACTCAGAATATTTGACTTAAATGTGTGTTTTTCATGTGTTTGCAGAACTAATTCTTTAAATGTTCTCCTGACAGTTGATCATCTTGAACGGTGGTCATAGTCAGTATTTTGCTTTTTAGACCTACTCTGCTGCACCCTTATTTCTGGGAAAAAAAGTAAAAGTAGTCAGAATAATAGAACTGAACTGAGAAAACCTTGATGAGAAATTGTATGCTATTTTTTGGGAAATAATCTGTTTTTTACCTTTCTAAGGCAAAAAAAAAAAAAAAAAAAAGAGTCGTAATTGAATGAAAGTTGAAAGAACAGCTTCTTTTTTTTTTTTTTTTTCCTTGGGAAGGGGTTAAAATTTGAATACTATGACAGAGATTAATTAGAAGATCTGCTGTAACCCACTGGAGGTGAGGTATTTGCATATACAAAAAAATGTGGTGACATTTATGTTACTGGAAAGTTTAAAAGGAGTTTGACACTTGAGCATAATGCTTCTCAACCAAGCAGAAGCACGTAAACTTTTAAATTATTTTCCCCTTCTTTTTCACTAGTATATACAGAAACAAGTGCTGTCACACTTAGGGAATTGCTAGATGGGTTGAATGTATTGCAGTCCTGCTGGACATGTTCATTTTGGGGGAAATCTTAGCTTTGTAGAAGTTCACCTTCAGGCAGCATTAGGTCGTGCATGGTATCTGACCTCATGACAGTCTGGACTGATCTTTCTCTCTCTGCCAATTAACTTCAGGTGTCCTCAGGAGACATTAATGATTTTCATGTTAATAACAGTATTTGTAACTGTTTAGCTAGGGGTTGCCCTCAAAGGGAAGTAGGGGATGGCAGGACATCTGCAGCGTGGCCCATGCAGATGGTGGTGCTTGAGAGTCAGGTCACAGTGTGTGAGGGAGATCTCAGGGATGCTGTGATATACCCCAGGTAACTTTCTTGTAATAATCCACTCCTGATGTCATTTAAAAATAGGTTTGGTTTAGCTTTTCCCACTGCCAATCAAAGATGAGTGTTAATAGCTTGACTGGCTTAGGCTGATGGGAAGCATTTCTGGTTGTTTTTGGAGGGTCTTAAAAGCATGAGTGTGCAAGTGCAGTTGTTGGTACAGATTTCTTTTACTTGTGGGAATGGTCGTTTTTAAGTCACTTCCACACATGGCTTTTGTCTGCTTGCAGTATCTCGCCTAAGACCAAATCTTTTCTAGCTCAGGTGCATACTACTAGGGAGGCAAGGGGTCTGGCTGTGACAGCAGCCACTTGAACCAGCTGGAATGTGGAGAATTGCACACTGCATACTGAAGGACAACTTGACGTAGTTCATGAAGATCAGAGAGAAACAAGCAATCCAAACAGGGCATTGCACAACAGAAAATGTGCATCCTTAACTACATGGCATCTTTCCCTCAGGCTGAGACAATGCAGTTTCAACGTTAATGGCCAAATGCTCACGGTACAACAAGTAGTTTAGGTAATTATCTCAGGAGCTGTCTTTGTTTTTGCTGCACCTAATGAAGTAGGCTCTGTTCGTGGTTTAATTTGTTATGCGCTATAGTAATAGGAATATTTCTAAGTGTTTAATTCTTACTATATATACTTGAAAATCACAGTCAAGGGAAATTTTTATGTCCTTTGAGGAATGTTTTGATGTTTATTCCTGAAATCTAAGTACTGTTTTGCAATAAAATTAAACACTTCATGCTACACCCTGTATTTCATGTAGCTTGTGTTCCCAAGTGTGATGTTTGTAGTCAGTAATTGTTCTGTTACTATTCAGATATAACTGATTTTTTTAATTTTTTTTGAAATCTGCATGGTGTGCGATGTCAAAGCATTGATTTATCATCTAACTGTCTAAAGACAAACTGCCTTTAGTCAGAAATATCTTAGACAGAAATATCCATGGGATTTTGTAACTGACTTGGAGAGAGAATCATCATTTGCAGTAGTTGCGTGTGCCCACATTCTTCCTTCAAGAATTTACCAGTGTGATTATGTAATGAATTTCTTGGGTTTTACTGGCCCACTGAGGGAGATTTGGGCACTTCATTGTGACTGGATGGATCTGAATAATGGACAAGCCTCTCTTGCAGAGGGACCTGAAAGCTAAGCCGCTCAAAGTTGAAAGCAAATCTTTCCTCTTCTTTCTGAACTGACATCTGAAAGAAATGAGATTAGCTGAAACTTCAGCCCTGTTTCACGGATTTTAAAAATAGAATGAATGAGGGAAATCCCTCCTTGAACCAAAGCTACATAAAGGGATTCTTCACAAGTAACACATTATACTTGCTCTTTCTACTCTATGCATTAATGGTCAATGTAAAGGTGGAAATGCTGAACAGAATGGCCACTTAATGCATTTTTCTCTCATACCTATGGAAACAAGAATTTAGATAGTGAAATGAATTTATCTTTCTTCATATGAGATATTCAACTGGTTTCACTAATTCATTTGAAGTAGGAAACTAGCAGTATAAATGTTTAAAAGGAGAACTGGCCGTATTAATTCAGTGCTCAGAGGAAGCAATATCACACTTTTTAAAGCATATTATGAACTTTTTCCTGTGAGCCTTTACCACAAGTACTTTTTATATAAATATGTATGTGCCCATGTTTCAGGCTGGAAATGTTATGACGTGGAAAGTGAGAGAGGTAGTAATCACACACTGCCAACTGATGATATGTGAAATGGAAGGTGAAACTTAGTGCAGCTCCTGTTAGCTGGAAGCATCAGTTATGCTATGAATGTGTGCTTTAGGTTGGCTATGTCATTCTCTGGCTGTTCAGGAGGACCCCTACTAGAGTGCTCTTTAGTTCGTTTTCTAAAGAGCTGAGCTCTCCAGGCTATTTGTTGTGAAGAGACACTAGAAATAAAAAGATACTCCATGAGCTAATGTGATGGGAATCACAGCTGGGAAATGTTACTTTTTAGATTATCTCCAAAATCCCCCATGTACCTTCTCGCTTTGGAAATGATTGTTCTTTCGAGGCCTTTATTATGTCAGTCTTGACTCACTTCTAATCTTCCCTTCTCACTTAGAGAAATAACATTATAGCTATCCTATTAGGATCCTCGGAGTTGGTATTGTTCAAAATCTCATGTGACTTCTTTGTTGCTCCCCTTTTAGAGGTCAAGATAATTCTGCCTTTAAAACCCTTTCAGAACTGTCTCTGGGTGTGTGCTGTTCTAGTGTATACAGCTTTGATTCTGAGTGCAGGACGGGAAAAGGGAAAAAGATTCATGCATATGAATATGTATTTCATATATTCAGAGATATATTGATATATACATGGGATTTATGTGGTTGTGTGTATGAAATCAAAGCTTCCCATAAAGCATGCAGCTACTGAGATAGAAGCGAGTTATGTTGGTACAGGTTTCATTCATGCAATGATTGTTAGGAAGAGTAGGTATGTATTGGTATAAAAGAAAACCCAGGCACTTATAACTGTAAAACTTTACGTGATGATACATTTCTTGTACAGCACCATGTGGACCTTTTCAATAGTATTATATTAGAATTAAAATTTTAATTGCTTGGAAGAAACTTAGGCAAGCTGGAGCATGGACACTGTTTCTTCTTGTTGGTAGGAATAGGGAAACAAACCAGTCAGCTCTCTTTCTGCTCTAAGGCTGTTA